TTTTTTTTTTTTCGGGGGGGCATAATTCGCTTAACAAGTAATGCCGCACATGCAGGATGCTAGACGCAGCAACCACTTTCCCAGGTCATTATTGGCTTCTGCAGACCAACCCGACAATACGGAAGACATGGAGAGAAAATCCGGCTTGTTGGATGGTGGTCCGGGATCCGCATAATTTGACAACTCTACTTCGGCTATACTCGTATACAACCTATGCAGACTCCTAAAGATCAACAACAGCCAATGAACCAATCATTAGCTGGAGACATCACTAGGAAAGACCGCGGGTTCTAATTAAGACTTCTTGTAGATAGTATCAATCTGACAGCTCCATGTACCGTGGTCCCGTCCTGAAGATCTGAAGCAAGGGCTGTTCGAAACAGAATAACCGAGCTTTCTTCAGCTGAGCGCCACTTTGATCGACACTGTGCACGGACATACAAGTAGTAGAGGTAAACTTTCGGAAATGCATGTTCATCATCCCGGGAAACTAAATTCGTGATTCATGCTTGTGTTGGTAAATGCTCTGACCGGGAATTAGTCTCTGTGATCCATCGGCGCGCTGTCTGACCCACTGTGGGTGTTTATGCTGTATGTCTAGAGAGCGTTGTGTCGGTCCGCGGGTTCTGAATACAAGTATGTAACATCCATTCTCTTCCCCAAGGTGCTCTTGGACCATTTTTTTTATCGATTTCTCAGACATCTTTTTTCATAAAAATCTCTCCCACTATCTTCATCTTGGCTAGTCTTTTCTCATCATTCATTGTATCGGCCATCACAATGGGCAGTATCGGACCTGTAACCGATTCTATTCAGCAGGATCTCGAGCAGCTTATCGTTGCTAGCAGGAGATATCATGAGCAATCACCGGGCCTCGACAGTTATGAGGCAAGAGGTGACCTCCTGGTTAAAGCAACTCGCCTAGTGCACACCATCCGAGGCCCGGCAGACATGCTTTTTGGACAATTCGAGAATGTGAGTGTTTTCTCTACTCATTTTCATGCCCTATCATTACGTATTGACGAATGTGTTAGATGACCAATATGGGAGCAATCCGAACGCTACTTGAGGCTGGCGTTTTTCATGCCATTCCGACTGGAGGGAGAAGCGTTTCGGCTGCGGAAATTGCAGCAAAGACTGGAGTGGACAAGAATATTATAGGTATTTATTCGTTCGACAAAGCAAGGCTGTGAGATACACTCTGGTACTCCTACTGACGCGTCCCAGTACGACTCATGCGTGCAGTCACTCCATTAGGACCATTCCGTGAAGTCGCCGAAGAGGAATATTCCCACACTCCCTTTTCGGAAATCTATTTGGTTCCCCAAATGGCGGCAGTGTATAACCTCATGTAAGCTCATCCACGTCACTATTTATTTCTTTAATAACACCTCTCTAGGATGGACGAATATTGTCCCGCCATGCTCCGGAACCACGAATTCCTTCAGCAACACTCCTGGCAAAACAAATATGGCGTGCGCCACAATCCTTACTCCCTTGTCCATGATTGCGAAGGCAAAACCATATTCGCGCACTTGTCTGAGTCCCCAAAGCGACTTACCCGCTTCAATGACGCGATGCGAGCAGCGGATTCGGCGCTGGTGACCATTGGTCTCTACCCTTTTGCGGAGGAATTGGGTGATCTAGCCAGTGACGACGGGGCCAGTGTTGTTGATGTGGGTGGAGGTCGCGGCCATATTCTCCAGCAGATTAAACAGAGCGCACCCGAGCTTAAGGGGAGGTTTATTTTGCAGGACCAGGCGGGTGTGCTTGAGGATAACGGGAAGGAGATAGAAAAGCATGGGATTGAGGCTATGGCGCATGATTTCTTCAAGCCCCAGCCGGTTAAAGGTATGCCATGCCATTCTTGTTTTGTCTTCTATTAACTTATACAATTTTTTTTATACTAACCAAATGACTAAAAAGGCGCCCTAGTCTATTATATCCGGCGGTGCCTGCATGATTGGCCCGACGAGCCTGAATCCCGTCAGATTCTCCAGAACCTCGCTGCGTCTATGGACCGCGATAGATCCCGAGTCTTGATTACGGAGTATATCGTCCCGGAGGTCGGGTCGACGATGTCAATTGCGTGGATGGACCATACCATGATGACTTTTGGGGGTGTGGAGCGCACGGAGAAGGATTGGGTGAGGCTTCTTGATACTTCCGGGCTGAGATTAGTTAAGGTGTGGAGAGCTAAGGGGGTGCCGGTGGGCGTTGTTGAGGCGAGATTGAAATAGTGTCTTATCCGTTAGGATAGTATTTGCCGTGATTAAAATGTGCAGTCCGCTTGTATCCAATTATCAAGTATTATATTCCACATCCTTTTAACAGAAAGGCAACAGGAACCTATATCATACCTCGGGACAAATCTCGATCTCCAGTTGTACATCTATCTCCCAATCTCCCCTCCAAGACGTCGCACCATAAACGTCATTCCCAGAAGAGACAATTGAGGGAGGTCCCCTTCCCTCCGAAAATAAGGGTTTCGTTCTCGTCGGGTTTAAAACCTGACCGCTCGGTATTATAACCTTGAAAAAAATCAAGGACGGGACTTAACTGGATCAGGAGACTGTGATTCCACCCCTCATCAGGGGAGTCATACCATGGAAGGTGATATCCAAAAACCACATTTTCGTTCGTCTGTGTAAAGCGACCGAAGATGAAGAGGATGATGACAGGTTCTTCGGCTAGGATTGCGGTAATCTGCTCCGCAAGAGCAGCAGCATTTGTTGTCGACATACTCTCGTGAGGATCATAGTACATTTGTAGCTGAAGGTCGAAAAAGCTCACCGTCTCAATGAGAATCATTCCTAGTTAAGAGAAAACAGGCAGTGTGGTTATGCTGCCTCGATTGAGTAGCATTAGAGTGGACTTGGTGTGTTTTCTGTCATATGCTTCAGCAATGTGACAAAAAAAAAAAAAAAAAAAAAAAACATGAAAAATATACATTATTTAGTGAGTCCTCCCTCTCATAGTGTCGTCAATGCCCTCCAAGTCATTGTACAAACGCCACTCATAATCGAAGCTGGGATTATTGAAGCAATCCTTCGCATCCGGAGTTGTAATACAGGCCATGTCTTCAGACTGCAGCTCAAAATCAGCTGCCAAGTTCTCTTCAATCTGCCAGTCAACAACACTTTTTGGGATGACCGAGCGGCCGCTGTTGATTCCCCATGCAAGAACTGCCTGCACAGGGGTCTTGCCATATTTCTGTCCAACCTCCTTCAGGATTGGTTGATCAATAACCCGCATCATCTGTGCGATCTCCTTGGACCATCCAGTCTGGCGGTAGTAGTCGTTCATGTTGCCCAGGGGACTGAACTGGACAACATGAATATGCTTTGTCCGTAGCTACTCATTAAATTCCCTCTGCTGCAAATAGGATGGGTTTCCATTTGGTGAACAGCCGGGACCTGAAGTATGAATTAGTTTCTTGTTTCATGATCGCCTGGATGTACTGACCGTGGAAGTCTCCTGGAGTAAGGTCTCGATTTCACCCTTGCTGAAATTTGATACTCCAATGGCTTTAATCTTGGTTATGGTTTATTTTTCCATTGCTCTCCACGTGTCGACATAAGTGGTTTCGCCCAGAATCATCCTGCCTTCGGCATCCCGAGGAAATCGGTCAGACCCCCGCTTGAAGGTGCAAGGATAGTGCAATAACAAAAGGTCAACATAGAGCGTGTCCAGGTCTCTCAGAGAGTCATCAAAAGCCCTCTCCACATTATCAGGATGGTAATCATTGCACCACAACTTTGTGCTGACAAAATGTCTTTACGGGGAACATCACTCTTCTTGATTCCCCTTCCAACCTGCTCTTCAACATTGTAGACCCGAGCTGTATCAACCAGGTGCATACCTTTCCGCAAGGCCCTGTTGACAGCCCCTTCCTGGGAATCAGGATCTTGGAATGTGCCAAATCCTAGCGTCGGGATTTTCGCGCCTGTGTTGAGTATGTATGAGGTCGCGCGGGTGGTCACAGTCCGAACCGAGGGCTTTCGAAACAGGAAGAAAGGCCTTCTAAAAGCCGAGGTCTGGACTATACTAGCTGCAAGAGAGTACATGGTGGAGGGTTGGGTGCTGCATGCACGGCTTGCGGAGTTTCACCAAGATGCGTATGCGCGGGGTTTTCTTTTCTTTTGAGGCGGGAGTAAAGGGCCGATTAATCAACAGGCCGATGAAAGCTTTCCCCAGATCATGACATTAAAGCGAGGGTTTAAACGCCCAGCTAAAAGGAATCATGGGGCTTTTGAATCCCTTCTAAAGCGGAGATGACAGTTCGCCGTGTCGGTGCTGCCACGAGACGAGGGCCCAAGTGCGACGAAGATTTTTCCGGGTTTTAGCTGTTCTATTTTGGTATCTTGGATTGGTCATCACACTAAGTCATCCGACTTACGAGGGCAACAAATCTATGATACCAACCGTATTTACTATCATATAGTTGAGACAAAACGCGGGTTCTGGTCAAGATTGCAATACTTAACCACACGGAAACAAAATCTTCTATGGAGGATTTTTAAACACGAATCGAAAAATCTCATAATCGATCAATTGCCTTCCTTAACAGTTTGAATACTGACAATGAACGTGAGCAGTAAGGTCGTAGCATCGAGGAGCCTCAGTCTCTGAATCGCCGACCCGTGAGCTTGAATGCTTCGATATCGTTTGGCCCTTATAACAACCTTGGTTCCCAGTACTTTCTCTTTAATTACCTCCAACATCACAGCTCGTATGGCACTGGAATCAATGGTGATTCCGTCTCAAATTACAGTTTCTCTTGTCCTAATATGAGCGCTGTTCTAGACTACAAGCAAGATATCCTGCAGGATGTCTATCCCTCTGCGAAAGGTCCAATTAACGAAAAAGCTGCCGCCATTTCGCGTCTTGTGCCCCGAGTCGAGTGCTCCCCGGACTCCACTCAGGGAAGGACTAGAGTTAGTCTTTGCACTTCCCGTCTTTGGATCCGGGGTAACTAATCCCTAGATTAGGTGTCAAGTGAGCCATGTCTAGATGTAGTCGGGGGCTAGTATGGCATGACGTACAGTGGTATTAGGGCATAATATAGCCAGGAATGACCCGCGCTCTTCAAAAAATTACATAGAAGCTTAAACACATTCATCTGTTCATAATTTTTTGTTTTGATCTATCCTCAAGTACTTTTTCCTCTGTATGTGTGATGGTCGCAATGACAAATGATGAGCGGGCCAGTTGGAAGATTACAAGCAGGTTAGAAATGAAGCCACTGCTGATAGCTGTAAATGGTCTTGCTGGTCTCGCAATCTTCTTTTCGGTCTGTCTACTCCAAGCTTCATCGCAGAAAATTTGATGTTTACTGTATTGACTTGTGCTGTCGAATCACGCAGGCTATGACCAAGGCATGATGGGTGGAGTCAATGACTCTGAGGCATACGTGAGCCGGATGGATTTAAAATACAAGGAGAATGGCTCAGTTATTGTGACCAACACTCTTTTATAAGGAGGTATAGTTTCAGTCTTCTATATGGGGACTTTAGTTGGATACTTCCTGGATGGTTATGTTAGTGATCGGTATGGACGAATCAAGTCCCTTGGTTCTAGTGCTGTCTGGGGAATAATCGGCGCCGCGCTGCAGTGCACAGCGATGAGCCCATCTTGGATGGTTGTGTCTCGTCTAATCAACGGTATCGGCACTGGAATGCTGAATGCAACCGTTCCGGTATACGGCTCCGAGCTTTCTGACTCGAGCCTCGCGGCGAGTGTATTGCCATGGAGTTCACATTGAACATATTTGGTGTGGTGGTCGCTTACTTGTTGGGATCCGGACTCAGCTACATTGACAATGGTACATCCGAGTTCCAATGAAGATTTCCTATTGCCTTCCAAATTGCTATGCTGCTCATTCTAGTGACCGGATGTTGGGCATTCCCCGAATTCCTCGTTGACTATGCATGGTGGGCCGTCGGGAGGAAGCGCTCTATGTGCTCAAGCGTCTTCGCGAGCTCAAGAACGAACATGCAGCCATGCTAGAGATGAGGGAGATTGACGCTATTGTCGAGCTTGAAAATGAACCAGGGGAGAACATCACCTACTTCCACATGATTTTCGGCATCAGCAGGGAAAATTTGCACATTGCACGGCGGGTCCAGTTGGTCATCTGGCTGCAGATTCTACAAAGTTGGTCAGGGATTGCCGGCGCTACGATGTACGCACCAAGTAAGTTACCTTTTACTTCTCACCCGGTCCACGCAGCTATTAACTTGCCCAGAGCAATCTTCAAAATTGCCGGTTTTGATTCCCACAAGACAATGTGGGTCTCTGGACTCAACAACATTTTTTACGCCTTTGCAACCCTTCTTTGTGTCTTTACCCTTGATCGCATCGGCCGCCGCTGGATACTCTGGTGGGAAGTCGCAGGGCAAGCAATTGCAATGTTTCTCGCGGGAGGTCTTGCTCGTGGTGGACTGGTCCATCCAAACAAAATGGGATCGTGGAATATTGGAGCAACTTCTATGGTCTATTTATATACCTTTGTTTTTGGTAATACATAGCTCACCGTTCCATGGCTTTACTTAGCGGAGATCTTCTCGCTCAAAGTTCGAGTAAAAAGAAATGCATGTGGTGTGGTTGGCTGGAGTTTGGGCAATGGGTGGCGTTCCTCGAAACAACCCCACCCGTTTACACTTAGTTTCTAATACATGCCAGATCGCTTACCCTAGCCCTTCCGTATATCTTCGGTGCCATTGGTGAGAATACCCTGCATATGTTCGGGGCTGTCAACCTCATTAGTATTCCAATTAGTGAGTTCAATCGGTGAACCTCCTTGACCGGACTTTGCTGATAGAATAAATAGTATGGGCTCTCTACCCTGAATCTAGCCAGCGTACACTCGAGGAAATGGATCTTATTTTGCTACCAATTCGCCCTGGGTCTGGGCAGCTGAGGCAAACTTTCAGACATTCAGGATAGGGAATCCAAACATCGGTGCTGCTCGTCGGCCTGCTAACAGCGTCACCGAAGTCGAGAAGGGTTTGGATGTTGACACTGAGCACGAAGGGACGGTTCCTTACCATTGGGTTTTGATTTCTGGAATTGAGAATTATTTTTTTGGTATGCTCAGAAACTGGTAACAATGAAGCCTTGTGGATTTGGATGATAAAAGTAGAAGATATGCTGTTTAAAGTAAACCTAGTTTCTCGCTAGATTAAGAGCTATGTAGGGCTCCGTCTTTTGGATATTACACTTTACTCTCATCCGAAAGCGCTGGAGAGCCTATGAGAACTCCAAGGACAGAGGGTTTACTGTAAACAGGAAAAGAGCGAGGTTAAGTCTGAATGAAGCTAAATTAGTGCGGCAGAGGGAAGAAAAAATCATGAGTGCTGAAGTGTCAAATACTTCAAGTAGAAGCTTTGAAATCTGCATATTATTAATCATATATACGAAGGCAGCAGTTCATTTTTGGGAAAAGTACATAAAGGTATTTATTCCTCAATCAAATAGTATCAAGAATATACCTGAACTTAAGAACCCTAATCATATTTACATTTACAAGTCAAGATTTTTCCCGCCGTGTATCAATTAGCAGACTGTCGAGTTAGCATTCAGTATTTATTAAAGAGAGAGGGCCCGAAAGTACTTACTGCCAATGACACCGTTAACCGGAATATCAATTGAGGTAGTGTAGCTGGCAGCCTCGCTCAGGAGATACACGTAGGCACCGCCAAGTTCCTGCACTTCAGCCAACCGAGGAAAACCACCATAATACTTGAGTTGCTGCTCCCAGTCCGGCTGCTGGGGAACCCAGTATGTCATAGCAGTATTAACAAGACCTGGAGAGACGCTGTTGACACGGATCCCGTATTGTGCCCATTCCATCGCTAGAGTGTGGGTCATATTCCGAATACCAGCCTTTGACGCACCATATGGCGTGGAAGGAACGCGCTGAAATAAACTGGTCAACATAGTTTTAAAAGAAAAACAGGGAAGATGAGGGCATGCCTTGTTGGGTCGGTAGGATGCCATTGATGCTGTAAAAACCACGGATCCCTTGATTCCAAGCCTGATAAATGCACGAGCAGCGGCTCGTGCGCTATAAAAAGCCCCAAAGAGGTTTACATTGAAGAGGTTCTCAATATCTTCCTTGGTAAAGTCAAGAGCAGCCTTGTGGTGGGTTCGTCCGGCGTTAACCACCATTCCGTGCAAAGCACCGGCCTCCTCGATTATCTTATCAATTGCAGCAGTGATTGTGGATTCATTGGTCACGTCAGCATTGACAGTAAAGAGCTGACCGGGATAATGTTTAGATAAGGCAGTGAAGTCCTCTCCAGTCTCACCAATATCAATAGAGTAGACCTTGGCCGCACCATTGGAGAGACAGCATTCGGCAATCCCCAAGCCAATACCACGATTTGCACCGGTAACTATCCGGTACTACATTAGCTATCATTCTCCGAGACCTTTAAGAATTCAATTTACATACTAGCGATAACCTTGTTTCCAAGGGTGACTTGGGTCTGGGGCGTAGTCGATTCTTCGGCGACGGTGGAGGAAGCCATTGTGATGATGTGAAGCAAGATACAAGCAAAGCAGACACGGATAATTGATTTGGGAAGCAATTGAAAATAGGGGAGATGATTTATTTATAGAAGGCAGATGATAAAAAAAAAAGACTCATCTATCATCACCACCCCCGGTCTCTCGAATCGGTGATCGCCCGAGACGGCAAAGATGTTCGTGTCCTCGAGACGACACCGGAAAACCCTCCCATATTATATGGGACTGCGGGGATGATTGTGGATAGTCAAATGGAGACGGACGATATTTCTCTTCAGTTAGTCGCGAGGTAAGCTCTCCCGGCCGGTCACTCGACAAATAACTCGATCCCGGTTCTCTTCCTCTCTCCGTTCAATCCCACCACGTATTCAAATTTCGTCTCTTGTCGCTATAGCTTGATTTAGCATGGCTCTCCCCGCCTGGAACCTGCTCAAAGGCAAAACGGCTGCTATCACTGGCGGTACCACTGGAATTGGCCGCGCGATAGTTTTGGGATATATCTCTCAAGGATGCAATGTCGCCGTCAACCACTTGGGCCTGGCCCAGGATGAATCTCTTCGCCACAGTCTCCTCGAGGAAGTTAAAGTAATTGAAGAGAACGTCACCGATGCAGGCAAGATCTTGGAAATCCCCGGTGATGTGACCTCCCCCGAGACCAGCACCAACCTGGTCAAGGAAGCAGCGTCTCAATGGGGAAAGCTGGACATTTTTGTTGCCAACGCGGGAGTGTTTAAGCAAGCGGAAATCCTCAAGTATGATTATTCTCCAGTACTCCGGTTCTATCCACAACGAAAAAGAGCCAATTTCTAATAATATATAGAATCACGCCATCTCTTCTCAACCACAGCATCGATGTCAACGTCAAGGGTTGTTTCTATTCCTGCCAAGCCGCAGCTCGCCAGATGGTGAAGCAAGGGTACGGTGGTTCAATCATTGGAGTCTCTTCTGTCAGTGCTCTCCTCGGTGGTGGTCTCCAGACACATTACACCCCAACGAAGGCCGCAATTCTCTCCATGATGCAGTCCATGGCAATTGCACTGGGCAAGGATCAAATCCGATGCAATGCGCTAATGCCCGGTACCATTGCCACCCAGCTGGCAGACCATGACATGAAGAATCCTGACAAGAAGGCTGCTCTCGAAGAGCGCATTCCCCTTGGTCGCATTGGTAGCCCGGATGATATGGTAGGCCCGGCAGTGTTTCTAGCGTGCGAGGAAATGAGTCGGTATGTGAACGGCACGGGGTTGTTGGCGGACGGAGGCATGTATAGTAAACTGCAATAATTGCGGGTGATTCGGTATTGCCTTGTTTGTAATTGGTATCAATAGACATAGAGAGTTGGACTTTTATTCGATTTCAATTCCTTAGAGATCTCTGACGGGATTCAGGAAGAAGCACTACGAGCCAGAATAGCAAGTCCTGGTGTGCTGATAAGGTATCTGCCAAATTATCATTCGAAGTATTGAGGCATTTAGTCTAGCTCTATGTATAATTTATATTTCTCATCATGCTTTTCCCGTAGACCCGCAAATCTCCATCCACTTGATGGTCAGATCCGCCACCTTCTGAATGCCCTCTTCAATAAGCTGAGTGTTTGGCATCTTATCCACGTTTGCTCGAATATGGTCGTAGTAGTCATCCAGCACAAGTCGATTAACTTTGATCTTGGTCACTCCAGCGGCCACGCAGCGCATCATGAGTTCTGAAGTGAACCCGTTCGTGCCGCGAAGCGCCAGGTTAACTCTTCCGTTTGCCTGGCTGCGAACCTTCTCGAATCTAGCCATGCTACTGTCAGTAGATTATCTGGGTGACAAGAGATGATTCTCACACTCACCTTTCGAAATCCAATTGTGCGTCGCGGGTGCCATATTCACCATGAATGTTCCCGAACGCCGGAGCCAGCACATCAACACCCGTATCAACAAACTCATCCACCTCCTCTACAGTTGTCATACACGCCTTCAGCCCCGCAGTGTCCATGACTCCATCCTCGCCTCCTTCAATACGCCCCGGCTCTGCTTCAGTCGCTTTCTGGCGCTCGTTGCAATATTGCACCAGCTCGCGGGTCTTCTTCAAGTTGAATTCCTTCTCGAAGTGCGACATGTCAACCATGATACTATCAAAGGAAATATTAGCTGCCCGTTTGATCATAGTTTCCGACTGTGCATGGTCGAGGTGGATACTAATGGGCACACTCGCGCGGTGGGCGGCGTCCGCGGCCGTCCGCACCAACAAGCCCTCGGTGACCTTGATTGCCCAGGGGAAAAATTGAATGATTAAGGGGGAGCAGGCTGTCTCGGCAGCCCGGAAAAGACCCAGGACTTGTTCGATGTTGTAGGCGATAACAGCGATGACGCCGTACTGACCGGCTTCGGCGTCGTGCAGAATTCACTTATGGCGGTTGACATCTTTCCAGGACATTTTGTTGATTAAAGGAAATCACACTGAACGGAGACATAGGAAATAGAAATTTCATAATCATTGTGACTTGAATGGTTGTTGTTCGACCTATTTAAGAGTGGTGAGCTGCAATTGAGATGGTATGGTTAGAGACGATCGAAGATTCCCCGAGACGAGCATTGGGCCTACCCCACCAGCGTCTTCTCCACGATATCTTAATTGTTTCCCCACAGCCATTGGCACCATTCAAAGCCGTACTGGTATTTGTTTTTCCTCATTACTTACAGGCCCTTTTATTCTGCTGTCGCCGTATAAGAGACCTTATACCAGTTTCTTGTTTCTCCCTTGGACCAGCGTCGTCACGAAACTGCATACAGGCCGGTGCATAACGACATGTCCAAAAGCACCAACACGTCCTTTCAAGCCCACGACGAGCGATTCAACGCAACTGTCGGGCCAACCCCATAACTAGATCTCCTAGCAGAGAACCGTGACTACCCTTTCGCCAAGGAGGCAGGCATCTACAATCCTATAACGAACGACCTTTTCATCGCCAGCAACCGATGTATCGACCCAAATGGAATCCAAAAAGTGCACATCACCCGTGTCAATCTGAGCCAAGATCAAGTCACCCGCGAGCAAATTCCCACCAAAATCCCCATGGCCAATGGAGGCATTAACTACGGCAAGCACCACATGCTCTTTTGCGCACAAGGGTCTATGACTGAACCGAGCGGATTATACCGCATGTCTATGGCAGCCCCGTATGAATCGGAACTTCTGAAACAGGACTTCTTTGGCCGGCCGTTTAATTCTGTCAAAGACGTGGTAGTGCATGCGGATGGCTCGGTCTGGTTCGCGGATCCTATTTACGGCTATGAGCAGGAATATCGGCCGACGCCGTGCTTACCCAATCAGGTATACTGGTGGTGTCCGAATAATGAATGCATTAAGGCTATGGCAGATAGGTCTGAGTGGCCGAATGGTATCTGTTTCTCGCCCGATGAGAAGGTTGTATATATCACGGATACTGACCGGGTTCATGGCGACGACGGGACGATTGATAACCAGCGAGTATCTTCAATGTACATGCCTTTTTCCGTCATGCTATATTTCTGTATTTGGTCGGCATTGCTAATGGTGAGATTCTTTCTAGTTGCGCCTTTGATTTATCTATATCTCACGGAGAGCCGTGTCTCACAAATTGTCGGGTCTTTGCTATGGCAGACCAGGGGATCCCAGACGGAATCAAATGCGACCTCAGCGGGAATGTCTATAGTGGCTGTGGGGATGGGATAAATATCTGGTCCCCGAGGGGCACTCTCTTGGGTCGTATTCTAATTGGTGGTGGAGTCGCGAACTTTTGTCTTGGGAGAAATGGGGAAATTTTTGCCCTCTGTAAGCACCGACTGTGGGGAGTTCAACTTGGAACAAGAGTAAAGGGAGTATTGCTTGGAATATAGACCTTTCAGGCAATTAAAAAAGCATTTCTCGCACAAAGATACCAAATTAGTAGGAGAATACTACACGGACACTCTTTTGGCTGCTGCGACTTTGGCAGGCTCAATGCTTTCCCAAAGCTGCTGTAACTCAACTCCCAAAGATTTAACTGGCCAGCCAGTTCGCTCTCGGCAGGACTCTAACAGTTCCAAGATAGCTTCTCGGGCATGATTCCCTTGCGTAAAGATTCCCGCTATGCCTTAATTAGCCCACCTTGTCTAGATAGATCACAACATATCACGCACCAATAAATAAAGCCTGTGATGACATCAAACTAGAAGCGGCATCTTTCAAAGTTTTCGCAATACCACAGATATTTTCCACACATTGCCTTATTACACTCTGTCGCTTGAGGTACTGGTCAAGCCCTCCCACACTGGGCTCGTGGGCAAGTAGGAGCATGTGTGAGACACTAAAAAATTGAACCGCCACAGCTACAAAGTTGTGTCAGATTATGGAGGTGTAAGGCCGATGGCTGATACATACCAAATGCAGGAGGGCGGATCCAGATCGGTCGGAAACAAGATGATTGTTCACGCTGACCGAGCGGCAATGGGGAAAACTCGACAGTCAGGTGTTGTCGCCAGTCGTCCAGCATGGTGCGAAGACGACTTGCCTCATGAATCTGAGGCTGGATGTTTTCTTCGGTCGTGGCTTCAGCACAGTAGCTAAGTACCTTTGCGGTAATGTAGATTGCGCGCGTAGCAAGTTCGTGCGGTGATAGGGCAGAAAGTGGTTTCTGTGGTATCCAGAATGTAAAAGTCTTGCGTTTCTCTCGAAAAGCAGCCCAAATGTCCTGGCAGAGCCATGCCCACCACACGGCTGAATGCAGTCCACCGGATTCTCCATGGATGGTCTGGGACCTCTGAATTAGGAATACTCCTTCAAGGTGCCGTTCCCAGTCGTTGGTGGAATTGTCAAGCATTTCGTAAGCGGAAATAATCAGCGTCGTTGCGAGAAGCTCCAGACCTGTCTGGTAGCTGGGGTATTGCATGGCTCTTTGCACATAGTAAAGAGTCTGATAATAATATTGAAGAGCTGCTTCCTCCTTATTTGGAATATTGTTTTCATCTAGCCAAGTATTCAATGCAAGATGCCGGGATGCAAGAGCGAGTATAGCATTCATAAGCCCAGCATTGTGTATCTAGGAACGTCAAATCAATATTCAACAAAAAAAAAAAAAAAAAAAAAAAAAAAAAAGAGAGAGAGAGACCAATAAACACATATCAACTTACCGCGAGATGCGCAACAAATGTAGAGAACTGGCTTGTGGGGTCAAAAAGATCGATCTGCGAGAAGGGATTATTAGGCTGTCGAGATTGCAAGCGTTGGAAGATTATCCTACCCAAGGGCTCACTTGATGCACAAAATATTCAAAGAGAGTCTGCTCAGCCTCTGATAGCTCAATTGGCTCACGTGACTGCCAGATCTGTTTCTCCCCAAGCGTAACACCCCCTGGGGCACTGGAGTCTGTCGGGTCATGACTCGCGTTACTGGCCGGGGGACTGTCTAGCACCTGGGTCGCGTATTGCAGTGAACTGCGTTGTATTAGACCATTAGCACTAAAGTGACCAGACAGAGGATTCTGGTTCGTGTAGAGATTGGGGATAGTCGCCAGCTGTAGGCTGTCCCTGGCAGCATCACTCGCAAGTAATCCGAGCCATCGCACCGCTGCAAAAGATGTATTAGAGGGTGACAGATAGGTATGCGGCAGGGCTATCGGACTTTGGTTCGCAGCCAGGGCATCCCCAGACAAGTGGTCTAATAGTGCTAGCGGGGGACGGTTAGCATCCGGTTTGGAGCAAGTCCAGGACAAGTCAGTGGTTTGAAGAGGTTCATTGGGCGCGAGATCTGGGATTACACCACTTGACGGATGATTATTAATCTCTTGAGATGCTGTCTGGCGTGGACTTGGCGCAGGGATGGCATCACTAACGGCCCCGTCAGAGGCCGGGATGTTGGTGCTGCGACGGCCCGAAGTGGTGTATACACATATTTTATCATTTTTGGCACAAGGTCCACATATCGGTTTGGCCTCATCACACTTCAGATGCCGTTTTCGACACGTTATGCTGAAATTACCCGGTCAGCAAAGGCACGACACGGTCAGAATGCAGGAAGCGCTTACCATCCACTCGTCGTTCGCAGGCCGCGGCCTCGGGGCTTTCGTAGGCGTGGCCGTCTATAGGGCGAGTGCGGAGGCATCGTTGCGGTGTCATGAAAGCATGTACTGCAGGTGCTGTTGTGATCGAGAGCCGGATTCATTCTGGTCCGCGCAATCCAACAGTGTCCCCGTCTCGAGGGGATGTAGAAATCCCTTCCAAGGTCGGTATGGTGGAGACCACCGGGGGGGGGGGCCGCGGTACCCCGCATTCGGGAGTAAGAGCATATTTTGGGTATATAGTAACGAGTGTGTTACCATCTCCAGGCTTCTTATGTTATATTGAAAGCGGGGACAGATGGAAGCGATGATTGGCTTGAACTCTTTCGTCTCTGGGGAGATGGTGTGACATATTTCGGCCTCAGCTAACTGTCACAACTTGGCTTCCCTCGTATCGTACCTAGGGTTCTAGCTATACTTATGTTCCACCAAAGTGCAATCCCAAACTGGAATGATGTCCCATGAAAAAAAAATAAAAATAAAAAAAAAAGACCGTATATTAATCAATGGCCAACTGAACATAAGTAAGAAGAACGCATTGCTGAGTATATCGCCCCCCCCCCCCCTCCCCAATTTGGATCCGGTTGACAGGTGTCTTCGATCAAGGTAATGAATAGAGAAACAAGACAAGTCTGAACTGAAAATATAACCAATACTTGATTGAACTTATTGATCGTGAAGGGCTATCGTGTGGAAGTAGGAACTGAACGATGTACATCCAATTGACAAATGCAGGTATATTCTTGAATATTGTGCGTACACTGGCAGGTGCTTCTCTATATAGCCTGTGCAATACACGCTGACTTCCGGTGGCTCCCTGGTCTCGGTCTGACCATCGATGGCTGGACCCTGATTAACCCCCCACAGTCCCAACCGCCTCAGGGCCCTATTCCTTCTCCGCATCTACCATGCACCTATCTAACTTGGTTCACGCTAGTAGGCCTCAGTAATCTCCCTAAGTATTTCATCAATATTATCCATAGTTAATACCCGTGCCTGGATATCCTTTTTGCTCGCTAATTCAGCTATCCGAGGGCAGTGTCCTCGCAAGCTCTTTGATAGCTCTGTATCAGACAATGCACACATCCCCTCGGGTAACCCATATTGCAGGAGCCAGATTTTCTTGTCTAGATAAGGTTAGACACCAGTTCTGCGCTATGTAGTTACAGCGGAAGCCTTACCACTCTGAAGACTTAATTCCCACTCCCATCGGTGGATATCGTTGGAATCGGAAAAGCGGAGCCAGTCACCCGGGCCAGCAAGGATAATCACCTGGGGCACTTTGAGAAATATTTCCGCAATCTTCCCAACGACTTGTGTCGGTGTTGTTGTTCGTTGCATTTCGAGTTGGTCGAGCCAGACCTGACGACTTCGTTTCTTGAGCATCTCTGTTACCAGGCGGGCAATGACTCGGCCCCGCTCATAGGTGCCATCCGGGGATGTCCATCTGTAGAATATGATATAGTCGTATGGGTAGAAAGGAGTGAGGGCCAGGAAAAATCAGCAAGCGTTCACTCAAAGCATTCAAATCGTCATAGAAAAAACTTACTCTGTACGGTCATCTTGAGTAAAGGAGAGAAGATCTGGTTAGTGGTCCTTCTTGGGTAAACTATGGGGCGTCGCTCGGGATTTAACACTGGGCGAATGGCCAAGTACGTGCTAAAAGTGATGCTGAGTGCATTGGCCATGGATTTGTTTTTCATGGAACTTTTTCAAGACCATTCTAGCGCTGCCTGGAAACTCAACAATTTGGATTGACCATCACAAAGGGTTTCCTTTTCAGCTCGCTGTGGAGATTGCTGATCTGCTCAGCCAGCCACTGACTACACGGTTCAGCTGGTGTTAAATTGCATTTGTCGTGGGATTTTGCGATGTTTCCCAACACAAGGCTAATTTGTACAAGGAACAACAACAAGTCTCAATTTATTTCGCCCTTCTCTAGGAATAATGCACTTATAATGTTATAATAGAGTGAGGAGGATCTCAAAGAATCTCCAGAAGGGCCCGCACACGACCACTTACTTCTATTGGCAAGTCAGCACACGACCACACCGCCCATAGATCCATAGGTCCCCACATATGAGCTGAAGGATAGCGCAATCCTATGCAAGTCTAGCAGTTCCTGCATCATATACCGAAGTACTCCGTAATTCAGCTGCGGCTGTTCATCGCCGATTGCAATCTCACCACCACAGATACAAAGAACGTAAATTGCTGCAGAAATATTTATTCAGTAATATCCTGCATTTTCTTTTATTTTAGTTCATTATTGTGTCGCATTATTTTCCATCTCATTCCAAAATGGCGTTATTCAGTCCTGTCAATATTGGCCCGTTTAAGTTGAAGCACCGTGTTGTGATTGACCCAGTTCTTACGGGCTGGAGTGAGGCACAACTCAACACATACTGTAGGTATACAATCATTGTGAACACTGATTGTTAGGTGCTGATAATTAAAAAGTTGAAGAGCTGGACCCTGAGGGGGGCTTGGTCCTCGCGCCCAACGCGCTCCTGAAAGCAACCGAGTCTACGCAAAAGTATACTGTGGGTCGTTTACACGGCCTGGGCAGTGTGGTATTTGCTCAAGGTATGTACTGTACTTATTGTCACTCAATATTATACACCTAATAACCATGATCATGCGCAGTGTGTGACGACAGTCAGAACATATTCTCATTGTCAGAGAATGCCATTAAGACTGGATACGATGGAGTGGAGATCAATGCGGGTGAGTGAATCCATATTGGTTGCCGTTGATAAGTATCTCACCGAGTAATAAGGGGTTGGATCGACTCTGCATAGAGCACTTCACCAGGCCAATGATTTGTCTACTGCAACATCGGCAGTAACCAAGGCCATTGAGAGTGTCGTGGCTGCTGTTCCAGCTGAACGAGTTGGAATTAGATTCACTCCTTTTGCCATTATCGAAGGAAACCGGTTCCCAACGCCCGACTCACTCTACTGTGCCTTGATTGAGTCAATTCGGTCACAATTCCCTAATCTTGGCTTTGTACACATCGTCGCCCACACACTGTTCGATGACTTTGAATACGCCAGCAACAAGTCCTTAGATGTTTTCAGAGCGGCCTTAGGTCCTCAAGATCCAAGTAAAACGGCATTTATTTCGGCAGACGCGTATGACCCGCAAACTGCCAGGAAGATCGCCTCAAACTCTCCGAATCTCGTGGCCATTAACCTTCCCGCTGATGTAAACCCTAAATTGATATCGTCTCTTCGCCGGGGCGACGACTCATACGCCCTCGGGGCATCGACTGCAGACCGTCTTCAGACTATCCGCGCCGCCTTTGACGAGGGCAAAGAGTATATCGTCGAATGGAACGATGAACAAAAGTCCCGAACCGAGCAGTCCATGAACGACCTCGACCAACATTTGAGCAACCTCGATCCTTCCCTGTCCTATGAGGGCACAGACAAGAAAGTAGCCTGGCGCAAGTCATGCTGGTTCGCCTGTGAGGGCATTGCCCGCCCTTTCCTGGACACCAAAGAGCAGATTGCCCGATTCGACGGTGACCTCAAAGACGGCCTGACTGGTCTTGCAGGGTTACAGGATCCGCAAGTCCGACGCTCAGCAGAGTACCTGAAATTGATACTGGACAGCGCGCTGGTGACCACAAGCAAAGCAGTCGGTATTGGCGAAGACATGATTCAGCGCTGTACTGTCCGATACCGAGCGATTAAATACACTCCTCATGCGGGTGCCCCTGGAGGCATTGGATTGCATCCAGACGGAAACCTACTGTCCGCGCTTATCACCAACGGAGATGGATTGCGAGTTTACGATTTGGATGGAACCATTCGCTTCCCCTCCGAGGTCAACGGGACGATCATGATGGGCGGGTCCACCCTGTACCGTTGGTCACAGGGCAAATACCCCCCGACTTTCCATGATGTCGATATCAACAGTGGCCAGGATAAATTCTCGATTGTCGCGTTTTTCAACTTCCCCGACATGGTCTCCATTCCACACAGCTTGATTCCTGGGGATGTGAAAGAGGGAGGCAGCTTTTTCCATGATATCAAGCGTATCAAAGAGGACGATAAGTCGCCACATGGGCAGCTGTCTCCATTGTGGGATATTATCATCGATCGGCATCAACTAGTACTACCACCAGCAGTCGCTGCCAATTGAATAATGATGCATGAATCTTGAAATATGGCCTTGAGTTATGAGAATATGTTTACCAAGTGTCACAGTGCGATATGTAGTTGATAAAACGAATTGCATAGTTCAGGCCAATATTGTGCTGAATATCTCAGAAAACTTTGAAGATTAGAGCATTTTTGGACCTTCACTGTCTTCTAAATCATTCATCAACAAATTGCATACAGATCTTAGCCAAGGGGCTCTCAGTATCTTTTGGATGCAAGAGTATGCAGAATTCAGATGAGCAGCAACTTTCGTTCTGATGATAAACTCTCGCTGTCTGATGGATGAGGTATATCTTTGAGTTATTGGTGAAGACAAACAGACCACATAGCCGTCGTATTTTCTCGTCTAAGGCAGCTAGATTTATTCAGCTTGTGCTGTAGTTCGTGATTCAGGGTGGATAGCAATGCCCAATGCCATATCCTTTTTTTCTTCTTTTTTTTTGTGTTGTTAAGGGACGCTGTGCTGCAACAATGATCCTGAATAAGTTTCCTCACTGTATGCACTTGTTCAGATGATACTCGATCAATAATCTTTTCATATACTACATTCAAAGAAGGAGGTATCCGCTGGATTGGTTCGTCAGCTGGCCAAAAGCTATTCTTCAGTAACCTAGGTGTCATCAATGGTGAGATGTAACCAAGGATACATGCAGTGTTTCATTTTAAGTTGTTGCTCAAGTTGTTGCTACACATCAGGTGGCAATAATGCCATTTAGCCCGCTCTTACACCCTGATCCTCACGGTCACACTTATCTCCTTGTGTATCTGATCATTTTCTTCTGCCCCTTTGAGGTATATGTAAGGGAAGAGATTTTTCATTATCTAGAAGTCATTCTGAATATGATCATAGGGTCGACTGGTTACTAGAATTTCAACGAGGTATCTGTTACAGACTCGGAAATAGTAGATACTGATGAAATGATATTCCTATCTAAAATATTGTAGCCATCAACGAGAATATCGGGTCTGGAGAAAGAAAAGAAATGGAAACCTATCTAGAGGATGAAGGGGTTTTATGACCACGGTACGACAGCAATCTACTCATGTCGGTATCGTCTGTCATTATTAGTCCTATATGTGGTGTTGAGCCGTATGGGCAGCGTCAAGCTGTATAAACGACGTCAAGGTGTCAAGCCATCACAGCGTGCAAGGCATGTTTACGATAGGGTCTAGCCAAGGCAGGTCTTAAGGTGGATAACAATAACAGACAAACGATCTTGGAAAGAAGTCAAGCGACAGTACCAGAAATTGATGGTTTTTCAAACAATGCTTCGAAATGAGAAGTCTGCAATGGCATAGAGGACAGAACAGAAACAACTATCAACCACAAAAGCTCAGCCTTGTGCTGGACACGAAGCGCAGCAATGCGGCAACAAAAGACGAACTGCTATCAGCGCGAGCCGCCTAAGCCCATGTCCCTACCAAGGGAAAGAATGTCAGTATCTTAGTCTGTGACGACTCATATATGACGGCTCAACACTGCAGCAATGAATGATACATCGCAAATGCTGCTACTCAGCCATGTCGCCAACAACCTCTATAAAACCCCTTCATTACCTAGATAGATTTCCTCTTCTCTTTTCTTCTCCAGATTCGATGTTCTCGTCGATGGTTGCAATAGTCTAGATAGGAACATTGATTCATTATTATCTACTATTCCGAGCCCGTGACAGAGCGTACCATAGTGATCTTTAGTATACTGTGCATGTTATTTATTTATTTAATCAAGTCTATTGTCCATACCGAGCCCTAGAGCTATGACAAACCATGATTAATGGACTCAAGGCTACCTTCCCTGCTACATTTCCCCTGCTCTAATTGCCACTAATGTTTCCATTCCCCTGTACTGTGCATAAGTTTCCAGATGGAAAGAGCAGATTGTGGCTATGTGCATATACCAAGTGACTCAGTGTTTGAAGTAAAGCATGATAGCCAATTACTGGTGCCTGCATAGCATATAGTGAACCATGAGGTTTTCAAAGGATTGAATTTGCGAGGTATTACATGATGTTGGGTGATAGCTCACGCCATCTATTATGCACACACCTAAATCACCCTGGGTCGCGCGACCAAAAAGCGGCCTCCCCCTCTAACTTATCTTTCTTTTCATATTTTTTTTTTTATCTCATATCTTCCTAGAGAAATTTTTTGACGCTATTCTTCTTTGAAACAGATAAACCAATGGAGCGGTTAGAGTCCGTGTCGGGAAAGTTGGGAGTCGATTATTCGGACTGCACGAGGCTATAGGCGAGGAACTTGAATTACACTAAAGTGTGACATTGATATCTATAGACACCATAAATGATAGGATGAGCGCTTGTCTATCTGAATGTGCGTATACGCTGGTCAATATAATCAGACCGGCGGAGCTTGCCTAATCGGTCCGACGTCTATTCCTTTTCACGGTAGATCCGGGGTGGTGTCGGTATAGGGAATCCCTAATTTTAATTGCCATTAAGCATCTGGTTTCCTGTATTTGGTCATATACATCAATACCCATCTCACTCAATCTCCACAAACCCTCCATCCAACTTCCCCCCCTCAAACCACGCCATTGCTGTCTCCGCAAACAACCCCGGCGCCTGTCGATTCCATGGATGCCTCATCCCCCAATGCACAACTGCAATGGTATCCTGATTCCCCTCCCTCCCAATCTCCGCCAGCCTCTTCGCATACTCGCAACTATCAGCAGAGGGAATAATACCCCCCTTCGCAGCCGCGACAATCAATGTCCTCATCTTCCAGGGACCCGGCCACTCAGCACCCGTCAATGACAAAGTGATCTCCCGACACAACTTCATTGTACAGATATCCATGTTAAGATGCGGGAGGTCCGCGCCGTCCATTAACCAATTTAGCAGTGGCCGGGGGAGGAGGTTCTCAATCCGCAAGACCGGCCAGGCGATGTATGGGATATACGGCGCCAGCACTGATGGTGGGAAAATAGCGAAGCCGGAGACGAAGATATCTTTCACGAGATCAGGATATGTGGTTGCTAGTTTGATGGCAGCGTGTGCGCCGAGACTGTGGCCGATTATATGCGCTGATTTGGTGATAGTGTGCGTGCGGATTAGGTTGGCGATATGCTCTACGGAGGAGTCGATGGAAAAGGGGGTTATGTGAGTGGATTTGCCGTGGCTGGGGAGGTCTGGGATGAGGATGTGGTAGTGTTTTGAGAGATGCGGAGTGACGAGGTCCCAGTAGGAGCCGGAGCAGAAGGCGCCGTGGATGAGGAGGATGGTGGTTGGGTTGGTTGGGTTGTGGGATTGGAAGTGTAGTTGGTTTGGTTGGAACATTGTGGTTGTTTAATATTCTGCTTCTTTCTCTAAAAGTGAGAAGAGTTGTAACTATAGAGAAAATTAAATTGCGCGTTCTGTCTGCCTGTGATATGATTATAAATGTTGTTGAGACATTGTGGCTGCTTACGAAGGATTTAGTTGCCTGAATGAGTCCACATTTCGGTTGTTTATCCATGTCATTCGTTAATAAAAACATTTAGCAAATTTGGACACTGGTCTGCAACAAAATCGAGATTGAATATGGAATCCATCTCATCACTTTGGCACTGGACTTGGGTTGAGGATTTTGTTCTCCACTGCATACTGCCTAGACTGCGGCATAACCGTGGGTACCCTCCGGTGCCCATGGGTACCCGCAAGATGGCCGTACTAGCATAATTATCACTTGTTTAACTACTTCGAGACCCACTGACACTTATGTAGCTGACAAACCCTTGGTTTCCATCTTAAAATACGCATGTTTTGTTTAGTTATATGTCTATGATTCAAGAAGTAAATAAGTTGTGGTTACCCTGTAATTTCAAGGTTTGTGGTAGATGGCTGGTGTTGTAGCGAAAATATATTGTTATTATTGTTCATACACGCATCTGTCAGCCTCGTAGGCCGAGTGACGGCAGGTCCTGCGTGGCGGCCGGGTAAGCCGCCGTAATGGTAATCGCTATGTACATCGTCGCCTTTCTATGCATATCCTGATATCTTATTCTGCATGCTGTATGTCCGGTGCTGCTGGTTTCGTACTGCTGTTCCCATAGTCACGAAGATCTATGGGGTTGTTGGATACTATTTATTTCCATCCCTACTTCTGCAAGCGCATAACCTGGACTGCGCTATACTGCTGGTTGCTTCATGTCTGTTGTTGTGACTCGGTAAGTGTTGGCAGAGTCTGAATCTGGCCCAGAAGGCCTATCTCAAGCATGAACCGCACCGCCTTCGGTACTAAGTCTGGCCGTGTTAGGTAGGCTCTGTAACCCAGCTCCCGCCTTGACCTCTGTGTAAGATGGTGTATTCGAAGTCCTGCCTGGTTTGTACGGTGGAGGAGAACATGGCGTGTATCTTGGAGGCCACGTCCGCAAGAGCATTCAGTTGGTTCCATAGCCTTAAAGGAACCAAGATAACTGGCCAGCGCAATCTTCTCAGTTTGCATTTGAATGAGGACTGATGTCGCGGCTCTCTGTAAGCCTTGGTATAATCGCATTGATGTTTTTGAAGGCTCTTTCGATAAACAACGAAAGGAGCTTCCGTGGGTGGAAGTGGCCCATTCAGTCTTCCATGCACTGATTGCTTCCATACGGAGAGTTAGCTCCTCTGCACTGTTGGGTGCTGGAGAATTAGCGGCTTCTTTTGCAAGAGCATCAGCACACTCATCGCCGTAAATGCCTTCATGACCAGGGAGCCAATACAGCTGTATATTCCAGCCGTGGTTCCTGTAGCTGAGATGCAGTGTGTGTGGTCTCTCTCAGGATATATTGGCCAGAAGACCTTCCTTGGGCTGAGCACGCTTGTATCGCCGCTTGGTTGTCGGTAAAGATGATTGCCGTATAGGCTTGATGGGAACGGTGGGATTCCGGTCCAAATTTGTTGCGTATTTGGGTGAGCGCCATCTATATGCCTCAAAATTCCGCTGCGTATACAGTGTGAGTAACTGGGGGGCCAATGCGAACTCTCTGGCGCCCTAAAGGTGAAAACCATTGCTTCTCCAACTCCCCGTTCTGTCAAGCTGCTGTCTGTGTACACGACAATGTCGGCGCCGCTGCATAAGGCAAGCTGGTGGGCTGCTAGGGCAGCTTCCTGAGTTTCTGCTACGTGGAATTCCACACCTGACCACCATGGTTGGGTCTAGACTGCGGCATAACCGCAGGTCCCCAGGGGTATCCGCAACCGTGGCCGCCCGCTTGCGGCCATGGTTATCATCTTGCTACCCGCGGAAATCATGCGGGTACCCATGGGTATACAAGCATCCTAAACCTGCCAGGACTCGTGACCTGGCAGTGGTTTTAGTATATAGTAACGTAACCCACTAGCGAGCGGCCACTACAAACCAGCGGCCACCCGGGGTATTGCATACAAAATGGCACTTCTCAGGACCTCAAAACCACAAATAAAGTTATAAGTGTTCTATTAAAGGTCATAACATCTAATATTGATGCATTGTAGAAGCCTCCTTGTTTTGTCTAGAACGTTTAGAATTCTTTTATCATCTGAAATATAGTGCTATTCCCAATACAGCTGTATTTAATGCTGTCTCTATATTGAACAGAACTGAATATGTTATGAGATTTTGGGGTTAACCTCTGCTTGTGTACGTCGAAATAACTTATATTCCAATTTTCAGGCCCTATCAATGTGTTATTGCTGAGATATTGAGGTCTTAAAAAGTGCCATTTTGTATGCAATACTAACAGCAGTTGGCCTGCAGGATTCGGATTTCTTCAAGATCCATTATTGATCACAGTTCTTCCTCCATTGGATCTTCATTGGAGTGATATTGGCTTTGCTCATCGTCAGAATGAAGACCTTTCAAAGCCAGCGCCGACGGAGTCCAATTTGATCTGATGTCCATCCATTAGGACTAACTTCGATACTCCAGTTGTGTGGTAGCTTTGAGTCTTCACTAGGCCTTAATATGAACTGATCCTGTGAAGGTGATGCATGACGGCAGTGTCGGTTTTCATCTTTATTTTACTATGTAAGGCTCGAGGGATGACATGATATGGTTAGAAAGTATAGAAAAAGATAGGTCCGTATCGGCTTTCAATGAGTCTCTCTCATGTATTCTGGCACTATGGGTCTTGTTTTGGTACAAGGTTAATTTTTATATGAGGAAGAAACCGGTGATCGCTGCCGTTCATCCCCTTGTTATTATGGTGACCGATCCATATGTCGCGCGGGACTCTTCAAGATGTGCTCCATTGTCAGGTCGTGACTCGTGAGTTCAATTATTTGGTTCTTTTTACACCTTGCTATAGCTTCCTACTGGCCAGCGAAATCAAAATTCAGGTTATGGATTGCTCGTCGTGTTCATTGTGCTGCTGAGGTGTACCTTTTGCTTTTAAACCTGCAAGGGTCCGAAGCAGCAAAACCAATATTTTAATATCATCTAGAGCCTTGGAACAGTATTTTAAATCGCCGATATCAATACTTTCACAGAAGCGCTCACACAGATGGAAAGTGATAACAAGAAAACTGGCCTGAACTACAACCTATGCCTTGAGCCATATAAACTGAAACGAAAATATATTATCTGCTCCATGCTGCTTGATATCAAAAGCGTAATAAAAATCAGTCCAAGATGACCACCGAAGGGTTTTTGTATTTGCCGTATCCCAGTTCCTGAAGTTGGCGGTGATAAGTTTGGTACTCAAAGTACTCTCCAGCCAATAAAATTGTAGTTCGCTCCGTACCGACAACAGAAGTTCCGACGTAAAACTTGTCAGTGGTATCGTGCCATGAGTCTATTTCTTCCAGTAACCGTTGAATGCTTCGACTATACATATCTGGCACTCTTGATGCCCAAACTCCCATGTATTTTGCCCATGATGCGGGCATCCAATGATGCTTTTCACGCGCAAAGGCATATATTTGTCCGTTTTCTTGGAGGAGAAGTTCTACCACGGAGACATGGCACTGCGAAAAGGGAATGTAGTGTATCATGCATCGATCCTCTGTTCTCTTTGGAAACCAAGGGCCCATTGCCCAAGACAAAGGCGTCCGCCTATTTTTATCATTCGAATTCATATCGGCCTTTCCGGTCATCACAAGACACTTGACAACTTTTTCTTCCCCTCTCATGGCGGCAAGGGAGAGTGGACTCTGTCCATTGACATCTTGCTTTTCCACGTCGATATCAGACCTAGCCAGAAGTAGGCTAACAACTGATTCGTGGCCTCTTATTGCAGCTGCAGAAAGAGGGGTCTGCTTATTGATATCCTGGACATTGACTTCAATCTGCGAGATCTCAAGTAGCAGCTTCACTACCTCATACCTGCCTTTGATGGATGCCATGAAAAGAGGGGTGCGTCGCTTGAGATAAGTCCGGTATTGTACATCAACCTTGGGTGCTCCGAGGAGAATATCGACAACATTCTCATGCCCACGCTCAGCAGCCCAGGTCAAAGCAGTTTTCCCTTTTTCATCCGGCAGATTCACCTCTGCCTTGCCTGTCTCGAGGAGCAGTATCACAGCCATGGGCCTGTTATTCATTGCTGCTATGCAAAGGGGACTCAGGCCTCGATTGTCTTGGCAGTTCAGCTCAATTTCTGGCAATTCGACAAGAAGCTCTATCACATCTTCACTTCCACTGTTAGCTGCCCAGGAGAGAGGTGTTCGACCATTTTCGTCTCGTGTATTGACGTTCAAGACTTGCATGCTCAGCAGGAGAACCACAGCGTCGACTGACGACCCTGCTGCTGCCCATGACAGGGCAGTACGGCCACCCTTGTCTTTTGTGTCAAGTGCAGTTATATCTGACTGAATAAGATGTTGCAAGACTGCCACATTTCCTTTCTCTGCAGCAAAAGATAGAGCCCCTCGTCCTTGAATCTCTGCATTCATATTGAATGATGAATGTTGAATTATGGCATCCAAAATTCCCTCATGATTACGCTCTATAGCTAAGACAAAAGCAGACTTTCCACCTTTGCCTGAAGCATTAACATCAATTTTCCCCGTACCAAGTAGAAACCTGACCAGATCTTCTCGATCGTCCAAAACCGCACGCGTAAGAATGGTATGGTGGTTATTGAACGTTGCGTTCAGGTCCAGCATGCCGGTGGCAAAGATAAGTTCAAAGATTTTCAGCTGTCCTCGCTGTAAAGCGTTGTGTGCGAGGTGTATAGCATCGGTATGTCTCATTTCAGACCGCAGGGAATTCCTAAAACTCCTTTCCATCTGCAATACTATTTCCGGTTGAAGTAGGTCCGAGGTATCCAATGGACATTGGAGCAGGGCACGAAGGGTAGTCTCATTACCCTTGACGATGGCCACGTCCACGGGAGACCCGTAACGGCCAATTTGTGCAAGAACATTGGAACCAGTATTCATTTTCAGATGCAATCTGACGAGATGGCATAGATCACTTTCCGCTAGTATATAGAGCAAGCGTACATTAGAATTATGGCGCCGGATAGCGTATCGCTCGAACGCGTTGAAAGTGCTGATGAAAGTACCAAAATCAGGGCCCTCATGATCTTGGAATAGCTTCAGAAATGATCCTTGGGAGATGTCAGAGCCTTCTGCAGCATCGGCATGATAAAATAAGCCATGGACTGCGTATTCCAAGAGCACAAAACGCGTATTGGTATCGGCAAGTAACTGTTTTCCGTCATCTGCAGCCACCTCAGCTACGCAGGCCTTGGTCAGGTCAGAGGTCATGTATCTGTAGCAGCACTTCTTGAGTCGATCATGACTTAAACCACTGAGCCGTTCTCCCAAACCGGCCCCGATTCGATCCATGCCATGTCGTAGCAAGAAGAAATCCCGTACCGACTCATGAATGAATTGGACAGTATGGTCTTTTGATCGCGTAATCTCGACCAGTCCTTTTGAAGCGCTCAGAATGAAGCGCTCCATCTGCCTGGGGGTGTGTTTGTCGGGGTCTAATTCGATAATTTGGGAGCTCTCACACCAGATTGCAATGCAGAATTCCTCTCTGGTCAACGGTCGCTTTGCAAACAGAGTCCACTGCAAGCAGAGTATTAGATCGTCCCGATGTTTATCATCTTTTTTGAGAATATTTTCGAAGAGATCATCTAGCTCATCAGGGAGCTCGTCCAGTCTTTTTCGTGCAGCCTCAACGCGACCATGGTCAAATGCTTCATTCAGCTGCGGGACCACTAGTACAACCCATAGAAATACCCCAGACGCACGTTCACAGACTATCCCCTTGATTTCCTGACTTTGTTTACTCAACTTAGCTTTCAATTTGCTGTTTATGTATTTCATGATGTCAGTCTGGTGGCCGAATTGTTCTTCCACCACTAGTTCAATGGCTCCATCCAGAGTGATGAAGGGATAATGACGGCTTGCGAGGCAGATCTTGAAGTAAGTTCCAGAACGAACGGCCGATTTTCCTAGATCTTCCAGGTAGTAGACCATGTTCCTTGCTTCTTTCTCGTCACATTCGTCCACAGCATCGATAAACCAAACTATATTGGACTCCTTGAGGTCATGTAATGTTGCATATAAAATTTTCTGGAGCTCTTTGAGTGTCCAATTGGCGACACTGTTTTGTCTGTTCTTTCGAGATGCTACATCCCAAAATGGTTGTCGATTTCCCACGGGGATGCTTGTAAGCAATTGGAACAATAAAGACCTGTAGAGTCCTAGCGTGGACCTTTCCAGAATATCGCCCCGGGCATTAAAGAAGAAAGACAAAACTATCACATTGCTCATAGTCCGTTTCGATTCTAGAAAAGCAAGCTTCATAAGCGTTGACTTTCCCGCTCCAGGCTTTCCCTTGATCCATAGGAAACTGTTCTGGTCATTCGTCTTCGTAGGGTTCAACCAACGCCGGTACTCCTCACGCTCGAAAAGCCATTGACAAGTACTCTCGTGTGCTTCGTCTATATTTTCCAAGCGCGCAGTGTCTTGAGAGAATTGAAGCGAGTTGAGGCAGTCCTGCTGCTGTTTCTCAAGAGAGGGAACTGCCAATTCAAGGTCTCCAGGTGGGCATGGAAAAGGGTTCGTGCCTGTGTGATATTGTTTATCCTCGGTAAATGATCAATCTGAATGACGCGGTCGGTCTACATACTCGAAGTAGTCGCCATGCCACGATCCGGAACGGCGTAGTAATCTAGGAAAGCCTTCATACAAGACGCCGCGGCTGCACTGGCATAGCCTTGCCACCTTTTACTTTTGTGGCTATCGGCGTAGTCACTGACGCCCTTGATGACAATGCAGGGAATATTGTCCCAGACACCAGCGCCTTCCATTTCGAACCCAATTGTTTTTTCCTTTGCAAAGATTTCTTCACGGTCGTCCCCGGACAATAGTACTGTATCGCCAGATGCAATGGGTCCAACATGAACAGCTGGTGGAGGATTTTCGACCTTGCTTGGGATCCTCGTCCGAACACCGCTGATCGTGCGGTCGCATTTTAGTACCTGACAGCGCTTCTGCAAGGCTTCATAGCAAACAGGATCTCCTCTAGCCCGGCAGCCATCGCAGAGGCTGCATGCCTGAGGCTCGTGGTGCTTGTGTCGGTAGTCTGATGGAAAAAGGAAGTCTTCTTCAGTCCCCGGGTACCCAGCTCTCTGCACACCCAACGTGCCCTGGACCACACCAAGATAGGACGCTAAAAACTGCTCCACGCGGCATTTAGTTCTGCCCCCCCTTAGCTTTTTCATCAACGCCCGAATCTCCAGGTTCGGCCTCCCCAGACTTTCACTAAGGGTGTCCTTGCGGGAAAATTTATCCGGAAACCGCTTTCCCAGATCATATTGAACAAGGCCATCACTGACCAGTACATCACCTAGAAAGATCTCTCCTCCATCCTCTTTACGCGGAACCCCACCACAAACCCCAACCAGCAACGCCAGCCTGATATTGTTATAACTTGCGTTGAAGCTCGCTGCAACACTGGAGGCGATCCCCTTTCCCATGCCTGGCATATGAGCGAGGACAACGTGGTGTTTCCCAATCCTCCCATTTGTGTATGCATTGGGATCCCCATGGATCTTTCCGTAGTCGTGACCGGTCTCATCGTAAAACTCATCGAACAGAGCCTCGACAGCGTCCGCCTCTTGTGTCGATGCGCAAATAACAGCGACGCTGAATTGATCGCGACTTGTTGGATAAGAGTTTGGATCGTCTGGCATGTTTGTGAACTGTATTTGGACTGTATTTGGACTCGGTCGCAATGAATGCCGTTGGATCAAGCATGGGTGTGGCCCTGCGGTTCTGAGTATTTTGTCCTTTGATGTCGTTTCTCCTTGGGGGTAGCTAAGAATGCCTTACGAGGGGAGAGCTTGAAATCAGCCTTGCCACCCTGAGGGTTCAGATTGCGGCGTAGTTGCAGTAATATGATCGCTGCAAAGGGCTAGACCCCGGAAGCTACTGCTTAGTTATACACAGGAAGGACAGAGAAAGGAAAATGAACACCCGTCGAAATGAAAAACTAGCAATAAAAGGTCTGTGCAATTATATACCTGACGCGGGGTCGGGTGAAGCGGGGTTTCTCGGATTGTAGCTCAGAAGGGAAATCGGGGAAAGAAATAGAGGAATGGGAAGGCCTGGGCAAAATCTGCGAAGGGGCTGGCTGAGATGAAAGGCTTTCCCTCCGTAAGGCCCGAGAATCTGCGTAGCTGGGATCAACTTCCCACTTCTTCAGGCGGCAATACCACAAAATAATGGGAGCCCTTATCTATACTTGGAACAACTGAAGGAATAGCTCAGCTTCGGCGTTCCAGTCACCGCCCCAACTGCGAACCCAGAGTCTGCAAGCCCGGAAGCTGGAGTCTCTCGCCCTGCTTTAGTTATGCTGGTCATTGCAACAATATCGTATCCGAGCTCTACACAGTAATTGCGGGCACAATTAGCCTCACAAGCACAGCACTCAGGACGGTCTATTGATTTGCTGAATCCATGTGCCGGGAACACGGCGTAGTTTGTGATCCGTCCGGAATCACCCGGAGGGTGGACTCGACAGTAATATCGTAGATGTTGATCAGATCAGGCAAGAATTAGCCCGACACCTCCAACATTACAGAAACAGCATGAATGGATGTAGGATAATGTCATACTTTGGCGCTAAAACCCACTGCGGCACGGTTCTAGCGATCTGTATGTTTACACTGCCACGCCCATGATCCTTTGCTGTCGGTGTTTCTGCCTTGTCTGCAATTAGTAGAGATTGGCTTAACTCTTTATGCCTGTGGGTCGGGCCATCACCTCATCCTTATCTGAACTGGTCGACGCCAGTGTCCACCTTCCGGAATTTCCGGTGTGTTCCCAGCGTAGTGGTTCAGCGAATTACCGCCCAACCCTAGGCGCTGTGTGTATATGTGGAGGCCCTGCGCCGGAGCTATTATGGGAATACAACGAACTAAGTAGCACTACGGTGTGTAAATAGAAATATGCATCGACATTATTGCATTTGAACGCACGGGAAATTAATGATCATACATTTGCGATAGCACCATCTCATCAAAATCATACCACTCCCCCATGATCCCTGCACGATAACAATACTACACGCTGAGTGGCAACTGCGGCAACACCGGACTAAGGCTTAATAGGAAAAGTAAGTCTCTCGTATCGATTGACCGATCTGAATATGTTTCTGGAAATGCGGAGGGACCCTATGGGACATCCCGCAGTAGTGGCCCGCTTCACTTCCTCGGGCGATAGATATAACGGGCCAATAAGACCCCATTTTGATACTTGGATGAGCCAACTGTGGCGATAAGGCTGCGCTTCGGCTTCGAATATTGTATGTACCTAGGTATAAAAAAAAACAACTCTTCAGTGGCGAGAAACCCCCCCAACCCTACCTTCTGAGCGAGTTCCCGCACTGCGGAAAACTCGAACCTTATATTTTATTTCACGCTGAATCGATTGATACTACTTTCAACGTCGTTCTCCCCAGTTGTCGCTGACAATGGGGGTGCAAAGGAGAAAGGAGTGGTCAAGGCTGCGGCACCATCCGCAAAATCCACAGACATCTCATATCCAAATCCGCAATTTGCGGATTTGGAAACATTTCAAACATGCCTAGACTCGTAATCTACTCAGAAGTGCATTAATTATGCAGTTTTGCTTGCATTTTTTGGGTATTCGGTAAGTAATGAGTTACACAGGAAGCCGTACAAGTATGCAATACATGCTTAAAGCAGAAATTTAGACTTATATTAAGTTTAGAATAACATAACGTAATTGACTAGAGTGTCACTCGGGGCGGGGCGGGGTGGGTTTTGGCAGGCAATGCCCCCCCAAATTCTCGGTGTTTTCTGTATTTCCATACCAATTAACGTATCGACGACATCAACCTGACATGGAGCGATTGCCAAAAAGCCATGCCTTCCCGTAAGGCCTTGTAAACGGGGTGGGGTGGGGCTTTGGGGCAGGATGCCCCAAAGCAGCCCGCCCCAACGGGGCCCTCAAATATCAGCGGGGCGGGGTCACGGGGCTGCCAGTGACTCTAAGAATGGATGTGTGTGTGTATTCGGAGGTGGCAGGCTAACATGCCTAAATAGCCTCTTGGACCGAAGCGAGGGCGGACCCAGCGACACGT